AGAGGGTGGTAATCTTGAAGGACTTGGGCAGTTTCCCTTGTTGGCTACATCCACCACAGGGAAATGGGGGAGGAGAGGTGAGGGAATGCTCTAGCCCTTTCACTGGTATGTATTTTTTTGTCTGCCCGTTTGAAAGTTTGCATAAGAATGGCAGGGATTTTGGTTACAGGCAGGAGACAAGAATGCCTCATTAATAGGCAGAGCTATCTTACTTCGGGGTAGAAGAGACGGACATATAGAGGCTGTGTCTACACTGCACCCCTTTTCCGGAAAAGGGATGCAGATAAGACACTTTGGAATAGGCAAATCCGCGGGGGATTTAAATATCCCCCACGGTATTTGCATTAACATGGCTGCCGCTTTTTTCTGCTTCAAAGTAGGAATAAGAGCTCCTCCGGAAAAGGGCTTATTTTCCGAGAATCACGTCTAGACTAGCGCTTTTCTCCGGCTTATCCCCAAGCCAGAAAAAAGCGGCAGGCATGTAAATGCAAATGCCGCGGGGGATATTTAAATCCCCCGTGGATTTGCAATTGCGATGTGTCTCATTAGCATCCCTTTTCCGGAAAGGGGTCCAGAGAAGGATGAAATGCTTGTACCTCCCTTGAGAAGACTAGAAGAGATTCTTCAAGTTCCTTCATTAGTTCCTGGGATACCCTAAAATTGTCTGCCTAGGAGGCTGGTAATAGCAGCATCATCACTGTGTCATGAGTGAAGAGGAGGATTTATATGGAGGTGTGCATCTCCTCTTCTGCAGGTTGCTCCTGAACTTCTTCCCATCCTCAGGAAAAATGTGGCACTAAGGAGTGTGGCTACCATACCAGTGGTTGTGGTTGCACCTGTGGGAAGACTAAACATGGCTTTTAAGAGGCACAAGAATTCCAATTAGGTAGGCAAGGGAAGGAGTTATTTGTGTTCAGAAAGTCTGGAGAGCCTTCTTGGTCTAGTGATTTCTTGCTCGGGTACTCATCAAGTGGCACAGGATGGTAAGGTAAGGAAGAGTCCTGCCCAGAAATGTCAGAGTCTGAGGCATCATTCCATGTCCAAAGGGGAAACTCTTACTACTGGTGACAAAGACAGTGCTGGAGGCTACGAAGGCACTAGAGGATGGGAGTGTACAAGATGCTTAGCTCCTACTGTCAGACGAAAGGAGGTAAAAACCAGTGGACATATTGGTCTCAGCAGGTAACTTCTCTCAGTGCCCCATAAGAGGTGCAGACTCCATTTCCTCTGAGATGAGCAGATGGTTCTACAAGAAGAATCTCAAGAGTGTCTGAGGGCTATGGCAATGGGCAGTTAGATCTGGGAGTGGCAATGATGCTCTAGTTAGAGACAAGAATTGGGAGTTGTCGACGTTGATGAGGCAGCCACCTCTGTGCTCAAAGTGCATGCCATCTGAAGCTGATGGTATTGGAAAGGAAGTAGAGACTTTAAAGAGCTCCGTTAGCCCTTGGATTCCTTGGAAGATGTTGGTTATAGACGAGTCCTGCTGTCAAGATGGTGCTGGTGAAGTTGCCTATCAGTGCGGACTGTTGGCAGGCTAATCAAAACAGGACATCTGCTTAAGTGATACCAAGGACTCTGACTCGGCACCATTGTCTGTTGGAAGCATGGTCTGTTGGAACCATTGAGATACCCACTACTGGACACGAGGTCTCTCTAGGATCTATTTTAAAGAGGAGACCTACCCCCCTTTTTTTTTATGTTCTCTTTGAAGAAAGAGGTTCTCTTTTTCCTAGAGTGCTTTCTCTAAAGCAACATCAGTCATTAACAAAATACTGGGGGAAAGGAAGGAAAGAGTCAGACCCCACAGACTTTAAGGAGGATGCCATGAGGAGAAGCTTCAATCTTACCTTCCTTTCTTTGTGAAACTTATTTTTAATTAGGGATGTTAAGTAGTAATTAATTTGCTAGTCGAGTAGCAAATTTCCGTTGACTACTCAACTAGTCAGTAAGCCAGCCGGGCCAACCCATGGCTCGCGAGCCAAATATGGCTATCTCCGCCCCCGCCCCCCGAAAGTGCAGCTTGTGAAGACACTCCCGCGCCCCTGAAAATGGTTCCTGCCTCCCTGTGCTCACTGGGGTAGGGGAGCCGTCTGGCACGGCCATTAAAAATGGGGTATTCAAGATGGCGGTGGCCAGAGGGAGCCTGATATGGCCAAAAATCCTTTAACACTGGGGGGGCTTCCCCCCCCCCACACACACCCTCTGACAACATTTCCCTCCCGTCTCTGTGTTAGATGCACAACTATTTGGGCTCTTTACCTGTAATGGGTTGGCCACCCCTGTGATGAGCACTGCCACATTCCACCTTTGAAATGTACAAGAGCCCCAGTGGGGACTCTTGTGCATTACAAAGTTGCAACACCGCATGTTGCCCAAGGCCAGCGGGAAGTCTCACTGACTCCGGGCTCCATGTGGGTGCTTCCGCTTTGAAATGCGCAACAGTCCCTACTGGGGACTCTTGTACATTTCAAAGCTGGCACGCCACATGGAGCCCGGGGTCAGTTGGGGAGTCCCCAGCTGATCCTGGGCTCCACCGGGCATTTCAAAGCAGTTGTGCCACACTGAGCCTGGTGCTGCCACTTTGAAATGCCAGGAGGAGCCTCCAGCCCAGATCTTACACTTCTTTAATCCTCATGCATCTTTGCACTTGGATGGGATGTGCGAGTCTCCAAGACACCAGAGACAGCTAGAATGCATGTTGCATTTCTCAGAAGTTAAGCCAATAAGGAAGAACTAAAGAATTAACCCCAAGGAACCCGGGGCAGAGGCAGTCAGAGAAAACACTATTTGTGTAAAATGAAAAGAGAAAACAAATAGTGACAAAACCAGAACAACTACTGAGTAAACAAAACAACAGGAAATAGCTTCCGGGAAGCAGCAGCAGACAGCTCAGTTGCTCCATCTCAGGTGGCAGACAGCTGGGAAGAAATTAGAGTGGTAGTGGGTCTGCTCATCCCATTGTTTGGGAGTGCAATATTGTCTAGTGCACAGGCGTGAACCACTACACATTGCTGATTCAAATCTCTGGTTGAGACAGCATGGATACTCACACATCTTATGATGGTACACCCATAGGGACATGTACTAGAAGAAGGGTAAGAATTACTTAAATTATTCCTAAATAGAGTTAGCTGAGGTCAACCCAGTTAAATACAGATTGTTGCATATGTAACGTAAGTAATGGATTGAACAGGAGAGGAAAGTTTGTCAGGTTCAATTTAGAATTATTTACATACAAGTATCATTTGCTGGGTCCAAAGCATTGCACAGGTGTATCTAAATAAAACAACATGAGGAAGTAACGGACGAAAACTCCAGAACTGAATGGTACTTTACCTTCAAACACCTGTTGAATATAATGCAGTAGCTAAAAAGAAAAGTCCTTACTATCACCAATCCAGGGGACGAGGGAGTTAACAACTTACTCTAGATGTGCTATCCACCAGCATTCCCCAGCCATTTCATGGCATTTATTTTACATCAAGTGTACTCATTTTATGTACTATGGCTACTCATCATTTCATAATAAAATGGAAAAGTCACCCAAAGAAGAACAGGGAGAAATCAGCATATGTCTTCATTTATGTTTCTTCATAGAGCACAAAGAAAGAATACATCTCATCTCCAACACAAATCATATATGGCAACACAATACATATAACAAGGTATTTCTCATCAAACCCAAAGATTCATCTAATACTAGGGATGTTGCATGGTTTTCAAAGCAACTTGTTTCAGCAACATTTGTTCTTACTCAAGGATGTTTGGAGAAGATGCACGTGACAAGTTGAGGAAGTCAGCCCTAACCTGTGGAACTAAACCTAGCCTTACTTAGCATTTCCATTTGCTATTACCCATCAAAACTTTCAGCAGTTAAGATAGAGTGTCAGTCCACTGGCATATAATCAGTCATTGGTCTACCTTTAAAATGAAGCACTCTTCATTTGTCTTCATACCTGAACTGAGTTGAGGTGACAGTATCCATTCAATGGAAACCTGATGACATGGGTGGAGTCGTGATTCCAGCCAGCATTGACAGAATTACACATCACATCGCCAATTTCTGGAAAAACTTCTTCTATCAAAGATTTATCACCACTCAGTGTAATCCTCTCTCCAAGATCTGGGGCAACACGCACCACCAAGCACTCACAGGACCTTGAAAAACGGCCAGTCTCCCGATCCTGTTTCCACCTTTCCATTTCACCTAACATGGGCTGGAGCTGAAAATACTTTGCCTCTTCATATAGCAAACTGTAGTCCTGAAAGACACATATTTTACTGTGCACAACTAAGAAAGATGCATTGTGAATATACATTAACTGCTTTTGTATTTGGTTATTCTGGCAAAGAGCAGTTCTAAGTCTGAAACCCTTGCTACACATTTCATAATTACTACAAATAGTCTGAAAATATACTGACAAACAATACTTAGAAAAAAGTTTTTACCTCCATTTTTTTTTAAAAAGGTGCGATTTGTGGAGCACATCAGACAGTCACAGTCCACTTTTCTCGAAATCTTTATCCCACAATGATGCCATAAAATGACAACCTCACTGAACAGATGGAACAGAACTAAATCAGGATTCAGAAAATCCATCATTAGGATCCATCATGTCTTACAGCAATACCAGCAGGCATAGTAACAGGTATAAATATGTAAATGAGGAAGACGACAATGGTTTTTAAAAGTAAAATGATTCTGATATTTGCATAATGATCTGCATATATTACTGCATTTTAAAAATTAAGTATTTTGAATATATCCCTTTTTGTTAACAGTATTGTTTCTGCTACGTTGCCTCGCACACTACAGAAAATGAAGCATAGCCAGTATAGAAATTATTTAGATCTGATGCTCCCAAATTTGCTTGCTTCCATATTTTACATTTCTATTTTGTTGTTGCTGTTTTTTTTTTAAAAGCATGTATTTGGGGAGGAGTGGGAGAAGTGTCTGCATGAAGAAAACTAATCTGAGAATCACACAAGGCAGAGGAATGTAGTAACAAGGTCAATATTGCCTTGAAATTGAGCAACAGACATAATGCTTAATAGGCAGATGATAAACGGATAATTGTCCAGCTGCGTTTATAATTAAATGAAAATCATCAACTAATACGAGCATCTGTAACAGAGAGGGAGAGCTATTTGTTTTAAACATGAGCCTTTACAGAAGACTTAAAATGTAACTGGAAGGGACCTTCAGAACACCACAACGAATGTCCTGTCAAGAGTTTTTTTTGGTTAACATTTCAGAAGTTATAATTATGCATTAGACTACTCTGCGAGGGTAAACTACTAATGTTATGAACAAGGCAGCCTTTAGACACACACGTTACTTAGGTGGGTCTGTACTAGTCATGCATAAAAGAGTAAGCACGTTGTCACCAGAGATTATTCAAAACATTGCTTCAATCTTAAAGTGAAACTAATGCTCATTTCACCAGTCAGACAAATTGTCGTGCCACATACACAAGACAGACCAGATTTTCAAAAGAGTTTAACATGCTATATGCTCAACAATAACCAAAAGGCTATACAAATATCCGAACCTGCTTTTACTATTCCATGTCACCTCCCCTAGCCACTCTTAATGCCATGCCTCCTAATCTAAGATAAAGGCAGGACATGATGCATTCTCCGATATACATTCACATGGAAGAGGGATGAAAAAGATCCCTCCCGAGCCTCTCTGTGCTTTCTAGGTCTCATTTAACTGACAATCCTCTCCCCCCAGGAAGTTCTGAGAAGTCTGAAGCATGTGGATCCACAGACCTAGCTTAGCGGATGAAATGAAGAATGATCACAATTTTCATGAAAAGAACTTTCTTAAAAATAAAAGTTAAGTCCAGAAGGATAGATATCTGGTTTAATCACCAAGTTGCAAGAACTCACCCTTCACTTCTCAGTTAAGACACTAAGAACAAACCACATGTGTGGTTCTCATGGGTATGGGAAGATGAAAAACTCTGCAGTTCACCCATTATACACATTTTACATGTTATTTACTTTTGGCTGTCAGGACTCACACGTCATTCTTCTATTGTCAACCTGGAGTCCTTTTAATTGGAGGAGGAGAACAAGAATTGATAAAAACCCCTCTGGAGAGGTCATATAGTTTAATATATATGCTATACCATGCTATGGTCAGGAAGGCAAAGTTTACCACTAATGCCCTTCAAGAAAAGGCCAACAGATGGCACTTTAGTGAGACAAAGCTTTCTTCTGCCAAGTAAGTAAATGCTTCTGTCAAATGCTCCAAATCCACCTCCTGTCTCATAGACCATTTTAATTACATTCACAGATTATCTCTTCTGAGGAGGAAATACATTTGCACAATAATTTCATACACTTAAGTCACTTAAAATCTCACCTTGAAATCATCAGGAATTAGGAGTTTTGATGTTCGTAGAAAATTCAAGATATATCTGAACATCTGCCCATCTCTGTCAATGAAATAGTGCTGCTTGAGACTGTCCAAAACAATAGGCTCTGTGCCATCAAAAAGCCTTCCAATTCTGGAGAGGAAAAGAGGTGAACACCAAGGTCAAATTACAAACTACATTTAGCCATTAACCACCAATAGCTACTCACAATGTTAGTGAACAGTAGCACTGCTACACAAGAGAAGGGCACCTGAACAATCTGATTTTACACCTCCTGATTTTACACCAGGCTGCATAACAATGAATCATGAGAGCAGTTCAAATTTCTACATAGTCACTCCTTGATTTCAGTAGGACTATTCTTGTACATTACTATTACACAATAGAAGGGCAGCAAATTCTGGATTTGAAGGAATGTTATTGCATACTAGGGAGAGCAACATAACAAATGAAGACATCAAGGCACTTCTGTTAAACCTTGTACAGTTAAGTAAATTATAAAAATAGCAGGTGAGCAGATTTCACAGTAGAAATTCAACGTTATTGTAGCAGGCACTTATTAGCTTGCTCTAAAGTTATCAGCCCTTTTGTCCACCTCTATAACAATCTCATGGGCTTAATCTTCCTGCAACATGAAACTTTAGGCTGGATTTTTTTCTTGGTTTGCTGTCTAAGGAGAAAAATTTGGAGAGTGGATGGAGGAAAAGAGGGGTGTGAAATTTGAACAGATTTCCTTATGCTGCTTTTGAATCTTTTTCAAAACAAAGTGAGGAAGAGAAAGAGCACTCGCAAGCATGCGCATGTCCTTACATTTAGTTACTAAAACCAGCCAAAGGACACTTTTGTGAAATGGCTGCATCAAATACTGCATAACTCTGAAATACCACATGGACAGTTTCCATGCAGGAGGCCGGAGCTTTGCTTGATTTGAGATCACACAACTTTAGAGCCTTGTTGCAATTTGCTATATTCTGCAAATTCTACCTTTTCATTTTCTTAATGAAATACAGGCTCAACTACACACAGTTTTTGTGCCAATTTAGCTTTATTAGTTTAAAACTTAGCTAGCTAAGTCAATGCTAGCTCCCAATGTGGAAGCAGTTATACTTATCTTTTTTGTACCAGTATATCAGTATGAAAATAAGCTAATTGTGTCATACCAGAGTGTGACAACAATTGAAATAATATTAGTTTCTAAATGAATACAGTTGCATTGGAACAAAAACTGTATAGCTGATCAAAGTCTCTTTCCATTCGGAATATACAACCACCACAATGTAAACTACAGAGACTGTTCCCATACTAAAATAGTAATAGAACAACCACACAACCCCAACTATTACATCTCAAATAACTTCCATTGTTGCATGCATTGTTGCTTTAGACATGTTTGTTCCAGGACATTAGAGAGACTAGGTGTGCGAGGTAATATATTTTTTTGGATTGATGTTTGCTGGTCCAATAAAGAAAAGGTCTGCATAAAATAAAAAAAAATAATGACTTTACCAACAGAAGTTGGTCCACTAAAAGATATTTCCTCTTTCATCCTTGTTTCTCTAGATAACAAAGAAGACAGAAGCATTTCATGAGCATAACCCATGATTCTTCATCAATTCAAAAGTTATGCAAAGAGCAAATAAACTGATTTTAAAATGAATTATACACCAGTATATAATAAGTAGCAAATATCTCAATGACATATACTATATTAAGTCTGGGATTCAGATTTAACCTACTCTTTTTGATCAGCTCAGAGAGATGACAACTTGAAGCAACACAGAGGACCACTAACCTTCTATGGTCATTTAACATTCTGCAGGAAATGCCCTAAGCTGAGGTAATCCTCGTTATTACGGTTGGGCGAATAATTTGTAACAGATAACTTGCTGAATGAATCTTGCTTCTTTCTCTTTGAAGAAAGGTTGCACAAGTACGAATAAAAATAAATTTTAAGAAAATTATATTTTGAATTTAAATCAGTTTATTTAAATTTTTTTAAATGTGAAGTAAATACTTTTTTTAAAATTAACCAATTTTAAATTAAATTGGAAATGGCAATTAATCTAAACTTCTTATAAACTATTAACAAAATTTAAATTAAAGAAAAAAAATCCAACAGAACATAACTGCTGGAAAAGTTTAAGAAAGTCAAACCATTGAACTAGTAGAAGCAAAGCACCAGAACCCACAATTTGTCAAAATACTCAAGTTTTTGGCAGCAGTAGCCTTTTCTGCAAATGCAGAGAGAATATTTTCTTCATTTCAATTTTTTCAACTGCAATTGGGAGCTGACAAAGTAGGAAAGTTTTTTTTTTCCCCAATCTATGAGTAAGAACTAGGTATGAGAGGATGAGATCTACTAGCTCTAAAATACTGAAGTACACAGAAATCAAAAAGAAATCAGTTCAGATTACTAACAAATACGTTCTTCATTTAATACATCTGTTTCAAAAACATGTTTTGATAAACACTTTTCCACTTCTCTAACAGCAGATTTAAGGTAGTTTTACTTAATAAAAATTAAAACGCTATTTTTGTACATTTTTGATTGAATTGCAGTTTCTACCAAACATAGCTTAGCATAAATTGTGAATAAAAAATTAGTATGTCATTCACCATCTTCTAACACTATAAAATTATGAAAATTAAGAATCTGAATAAAATTTTAAGCAATATAATTGCCTGATATAGCATGCATCCATCTGGTTAGTACAAAGCAGTATCAAATATAGTATACGTTGCAAATCAATACGTTTGAATAATTATAAACCAATGAGACTCAACCTTTATTTCTGAAAAGTTTTATGAAATACAAATGCAAAACAAGATTAGATTTAAGTCAATTCACCATGGGCTGCACACAGCAATCTTCTATTCAAAATTATTCAACAAACTTTTTCAGCATGCTATTTACTATGTAGCTCACTATTGTGACTGGTCACACAATATAGATTCTGTTCACTGATTTGATGAGCATACCAGGTTTGTGGCTATGTATGTGAAGGTATGCTGGTGAAGACTAGGGATGTTAGAAACGGTATAATTGAATAGTCGTGTAACTGCATGAAAACTAAGCAGATAGATGACTATTCAATAGTCCCTAGGGACAGGGCTGGCAGCCAGTGCACCTCTGGCCCAACTCCCAGGAACACCCTGCCACCCTGTACTGCTGCCTCTCTATCAGAGGCAGCAGTGTGGGGTGGCAGCAGCCCCTGTCCACTGGGGTATAAGTTCCCTGAGGACAGAAGCTGCTCCATGGGATGCGGGGCAGCCTCTGCCCATGGGGAGCTCGGGTCCACAGCAGCCTCCCCTGGTGCGCTCCTGGGGCAGCGGCATAGCAGAGCTGGTGCTGTGGGGGAACCAGCTTTTAAGCCAGCTCCCCCCAGCACTGGCTTCTGCCTGTTCAGCCCCTCCCTACACCCACTGCCTCTGTAGGAGACTTGAAAGCTGTGTATATTTGTTCCAGCCTGCCCCCCCTCCCCTGCTGCATCAGAGGTAGCAGCGCGGGGTGGGGCAGGCAGATAGGGTGCTCACGGGGAGCCAGTTTATAAGCCAGCTCCTCTCAGGCACCAGCCTCCCCACTTCCTGCCTCTGATACATTATCAGTTAATTGTGTGGTCGTCTGCACAATGACATATCTAGTGAAAACATGCCTGTAAAAGTAATTTTCATACACATTTTGAGCCTGTCAAGCTTAGTATTGACACTGGAATGTACAAAGAGTGCAAAACAAAGGAAAGGAAAACTTGTGTTTATCAGCCACCTAAAGGCTCCAAATCAGGATGAAGGCACCCATTGCCTAGACCTCCTACAAATACACAAAGCAAGTCCCAGTTCTAAAAAGCTTAAAATTTAATTTTCATCAAGGCAGTGCTCCCAGCCATCCTAAATTCTGAAACAGAAATTGCAAATTTGACTGTAAAGTAGTATTTAAAATAGCATGTATGAAATTACACACATATACAATATTTAAAAATTAAATATTGAAAGAGTATAGGCTAAGAGCCATCCTTTAACCATGCTGTGAAGTTCTGCACGTAATATTTTGAAGGGTGAGTGCTTGAATAAACTCCTTCAATCATAAATCAACTTCTGCTTCATCGGACTTTGAAATTATAATGCTAAAATGACATAAGTTTGCTGGCATGCAACAGGATTGTGAAGTCGTGTTTACTATAATTTCACTTTGAAAGAAAGATTGGAAGATATGGTTTCCTTCACATGGTCCCTGACGACCTTGGTTTAACACACACAACTGATCAGCAAAGACAGCAAAAAATGTATGACAAATTTATTACAGATGAATGGATTTCAAAATACGGAAGTGGTTTGAAGGTAGCTTGCAAAGCAAGTTGATAATAAACAGATTTAGCCAACTAGCAAGGGCAAAGGATCAAAAAGCTGTCATACATTCAGAGGAAAATATGCTTAAACATATTTAATTAAAAGTTAGATGAATTTTCTCTATAGATGAAAAATTCATGTCCCAAGGTTTGAAACGGTGACCTGCAAAGAGCAATAGTTAATTCTGCGGCTTTAAATATCATATTCGACAGGCAGCAAACTACTGCTTCAAAGGTTGAAAAATGTAACTACTCTAAAACTCAGCTTCAGAGAATTTTACTTTAAAGGACCTAAAACAGACAGTATTATTTTTGGAAAAGAAGGCTAAGACACAAAGACGACCAATCTTTTACTCTAGTACGTACTCTAGAGGGCATTTTCCCCATAGACGAGCACACCCAATAGACTTTTCAATCTGTGGTTCTTGAATTAAAATCCAGGTATTTGAGCAATGGAAGATGACATTACTAAAAGGAACACCTGTCTTCAAAATATAACCCCCAGTTTGGCTGTCAAATGAAAAGCTTTGCTGGTACCCTGTGCCTGAAAGAAAATTATAAAAAATTGATTTTCTGTTAGTGTCTTGTGCCTCAGTAGGGAATTCAGGGAGGGAAAAAACAGCCAGTGCCAATGAAAAACAGAATATTCCATAGTTTACATAACATGTATAGATAACATAATAAAATCCTGCTAATTGGTGATTAGACACTTAACTGGATTAGAGGAGGAAAAAATTCCTTTACACTGGTTGGAGACATAGGCAGCTGAATCAGAAGCAAACACTGATT